AATGTAAGCCATTTTAAGCTGTAATTCTGTAATCATATATATATATATATATATATATATATATATATATATATATATTCATATGTATTTACAATATACGTATGTTAGCTATATCTCTCTCCTTTTCTTTCTTCTCACGTCTGTCCTTTCTTCTTTTTCTCTCCCCCTCTCCTTTCCTCTCTCCTCTTCCTTCTCTCCTCCTCTCTCCTTTCCTCTCTCCCCCTCACTCTTCCCTTCTCTCTCCTCTCTTTTTCCTTTCTCACTCCCCCCCTCCTCCCTTTCTTCCCCCTCCACCCCTCCAAATACATGTCATATTTCCAGCTTTCCTTGTTGTCTGCCGTAAAATAGAAGGGCCCTGAAAGAAATTAGAATTGGAGTTATTATATGGTACCTATTTCCTGTCATGTGTTTTCTCAATTCACAGACACTAATAGTATTATGTAGGGCCCTGATCTTCAAAAAGGTTGGAAACCAGTAGTATAGTGGAAAGAACATTGTACTTGGGAGTCATAAGACCATCACCAAGTCAGGTAATGTTAATTTTCTCATTTTTAAAATGAAGTTAATACCATTGGCACCAGCTGCATCATAGGGGTCTTGCTAAAGCTTGGCTAACTGTAAAATGAGTCAGCAGCAACACTGGTTCCAAAGAACACCCCCCCCCGGTAAGTGTCAGGGAATGCCCCAACAAATGCTATGAGTGTGGAACTTTATGTATGACCTTTTTTTTAATGTTTTTTTTTCCTGATTTTTTTCTCTCAGCTCAATTCTACCTTCTGCAGGAAGCCTTTCCTGGTACCTCCCCATCCCCACCCCTCAACCTCCTCCCACTAGTGTTTTTCTTCTGAGATTACCTTCTAATTACATTGGATATATTTAGTATTTGCATATTGTATTCCCTGTTAGAATGTGAGCTCCTTGGAGGTAGGGATGGTTTTTGCTTTTCTTTGTATCTCCAGAACTCTGTATCCTCTGGAATATATCCCATGGAGCGGTTCAATAAATGCTTGTTGACTTACTGATTTGTTTTCCTCTTTTTTCCTTTTTTTAAAAAAATTCTTTGTTATTTACGAAACTGTGCATATTCCATGATACCACTACTAGACCTAAACCAAAAGATCAAAGAAAGAGAGACAGGACCCATATGTACAAGAATACTGGTAGCAGCATCTCTGTGGTGGTAAAGAATTGGACTGAAGGGATGCTCATCAACTGGTGAACGGCTAAACAGATTGTGGTATATGAATGCAAAGTAACACTATTGTGCTGGAAGAAACAATGGAAGGAACCATTTCAGAGAAATCTAGGAAGACTTGGATGAACTTTGTGCAGAATGAAGTACACAGAACCAGGTGAACAAATTATACAATAAGAACATGTTAAAGACAAACGACTTTGAAAGACTTAAGAATTCTGATCACTGCAATCACCAACCACAATTCCAGACGACAGACAATGAAGCATGCTACCCACCTTCTGATAGAGAGGTGATTGACTCAGAGGCAAAATGAGACACACTTTTCTGGACATGGCCAATGGGAAGGAATAATTTTGCTTGAATATACAGGTTTGTTTGTTTTTCCTTTAAATTGGTAGATTGGAATGAGATGCAGAGGACAGAAAATAGATTTTTGTTCATTAAAATGTAATTTTAAAAGTTCTTTGTTACTGGGAATGATTCTCTGGAAGGAGAAGGGATACAGGGAGAAATCTAGGTGATGTAAAAACAAAAGAGATCAATAAAAATCTATTTTAAAAAATGATTTACCAACAGAAGTGTGAGGTAAGCATCCTCTTATGTACATCCAGTGTGTGGCAGTGAGAACCCCTGGGACCAGAGGATCAGGGAAACCTGAGTGGCAAAAATAGGTGACCCTAACACAAATTTAGCCCTCCTCTTTCCAAGCCTGACCCTCTACTCCTTCTAGTGGAAGTACTGGGCATCGGAGAGATGACAGCAGGAGGGGAAAAGGCAGGGCCCAGATATGACACAGAGTATGGGATGACTGTCTCCTGAATCACTAGGAATCAGACCTACTGAGCACTAGCTCTGGCCCTCATGCTGTCCCAGTGCCCCTTGGCCCTTTGAAGGAAGGAAGCTGCCCTCCCTGAGGCCAAAGACGGAGGCTAGCCAGCAGCATGTTTCAGGCAGCATGAGTCTTGGCAGCTGGGAGGAACCTGAGTAAGGATGGCAAGACTAGTCCCAGAGCATATCTAATGTATCTAATGGCAGCATTTGCTCACTGCCTGACCTTCATTTATTTATCAAGATCCAAAGATGGCTGGGTGAGAGGGGACGTACAATGGTGACACAGGCCTTGGGTCCACATTCTAGCCATGGGACTCCTTAGGGGAGCACGTGTGTGGAAATAAGGTGGGTGTACCCACCCCCTGGGTTGCCTCATCCTGAGACTGACTTTAACACATCTGGCTTCGATACCCCAACCTAAAAATAAGCTTCCCTTGAGCTGGGAAATTTGTAATCCAGAAAGAACCTCCAAGGCAAATTGCCAGGGCCAAGACAGTGAGTATGTGGTTAAAATTAAAATTGCCAAGTCACATATTCTGTAGATAAATGGAAAAGGAAAAACAAGGATTGTGACTTACCACTCTGTTTATGCCTCCCTGTTGGCTTTAAAAAGCCTTTATGAAAGGCAGCATGGTATCATGGATGGAACTTTGGGCTTGTAGTCAGCAAGAACTGAGGTCAATTCTACCTCAGATGCTTACTAGCTGTGCCACCCTGCGCAAATGATTTAACCTCTCACAGCCTCAGTTTCCTGAGGCTGTAAAACAGGGATACTATTAAGTGGGAAAATTAATAAAATTTCTTATTAAAAAAAAACCAGGGATAATATTCACACCTATTTCACAGTATAGTTGTGAAGATCAAATGAGATAAATATGAATAAAAGACCTTGTAAATTTATAAATGTTAGTGCTCATCTGCATACAGAGAAAGAACTATGGAGTCTAAATGCAGATCAAAGCATACTATTTTCTCTCTTTTTTTCTTTCTCATGGTTTTTCCTTTTTGTTCTGATTCTTCTTTTACAACATGACTAATATAGAAATATGTTTAATATGATTGTATGTGCATAGCCTACATCAGATTACATGCTGTCTTGGGATGGAAGGACAGGAGGCAGGGAGAAAAAATTTGGAACTTATAAAAGTGAATGTTGAAAACGATCTTTTAATTAAAAAATTAAAATACTATTAAGTGGGGGAGGGGAAAAATGTTAGCACTCTACTGCCAATCACGTGTTCTGTGGATAAATGGAAAAAGATACGGTTGATTTTTTTGGATGGTCAATGTCCATTACCTTTATTTGTGGCTCTGTATGGTAATGATTGCAGTTTATGTTGACTTCCATAGACAGTATAAGCAATAAATGGTGGCCAGCGATGCTTTACATCAATGTTTCACACAAAGCAAATACAGAATATCATATTACCTAATTTTCTATTTTAAAAATTTCTGTAGGCACAAAGCAGAATGCTGGAAAATCACTGAGGAAAGAATATGCATAAAGAAGTATTTCTTACATCAAAAAAGTCTAAGAATCACAAATTCTGCAGAAGCTTGGTTAATCAAATATTGCGGTACTGATTTAATCAGTATAAAATTGAAAGAGCATTAGCTCTGTAATAAAAATTCCAGTTTGGGATAGGGCAAACTTTAAAACAGCAGCCAAGGGAATGGAAAAGTAGTAGGACAGGTGAACAGGCACATTAGAACTGTGGGGACATGTAAATTGACCAAACCTGTGTTCGCATGGAAAATATTTTATCCACCTATTTTTTCCTTCTAAACTTAAGTCCATTGAAGTCCAACACATTGTTTCATTTTTTTTTCTTGGCTTGGTTTTCTTGGTGACAGTATTTGGTGAATACTAAGTTTACTGCTTTTTGTGCACACTGTGAAAAAATTAGATGATAAAGTTTATAAATGCCCATACCACTCCCTTTATTTGCCTCCCTATTGGCAAAAAGCCTTTATGAAAGGCAGTGTGGCTTAGTGGAAAGAGCACAGAACTTGGAGTCAGAAAGACTAAGGCTGGAATGCTACTTCAGATATTTCAATCAGGCCACAGATGTGTATTAAGCAAGCTCTTGTGCCAGGCCCTGTGCCTGGCTATGGAAATACAAGGACAAGAGTGAAACAGTCCCTGACCTTTCAGAGCTTACATTCTGTTGTTGGAAGTGATACGTATAAATCCAGGTATAACCTTAAAGTTACTGTGTTTTTAAGAGAGAGGGAATAGAATCTTTTTTTTTTATTTTTTTTTTCCATATGCTTTTGAGTTGAAAATTTTTCTCCCTTTTTCTCCCCCCCATCCTCCCCAAGATGGCGCACAAGCTGACGTAGGCTTTACATTTACATACCCATTAAACATATTTTCACATTAGTGAAGCTGTAAGTAAAAATTAAAACCAATAGGAGGAACCATCAGAAAGATGAAACAAAACTCAACAGAAGGTAAAAATAAGTGAGAGCGATTTGACTTCCATAGTTATTTCTTTGGATGCGGACAGCATTTTCCATCCCGAGGCCTCTGGAGATGTCTTAGATCCTCGTAATGCTGAGAAGGGTTCAATTTAACATTCTTAGTCATTGCATAACGTGGCTGCTATTGTATACAAAGTCCTCTTGGTTCTGCTCACGTCACTCAGCATCAGACCATATAAGTCTTTCCAGGTTTTTCTGAAGTCAGCCTGTTCCATCATTTCTTATAGCACAATAGTATTCCATTACATTCATATACCACAACTTGCTCAGCCATTCCCCAATTGATGGGCATCCTCTCAATTTCCAATTCTTTGCCACCACAAAAAGAGCTGCTATGAATATTTTTGTACATGTGGGTCCTTAGGGAATAGAATCTTGTAGGAAGAGTCAGTTTTACCTGGAGTGAATTAATCATCAAAGCAAGAGATTCTGTGTGTGTGAAAAAGGCACAGAAAGAATTAACAGAACTTCCTTCCTAAGAAACAGATATTTCTAGAAAACTTAGTTTAATTCTTAGCTTATGAAGAGACATTAGGTGGAGAATTCCTGGGAGACTTGGATTGCCCTCCTGAGAAAATTGTGTATCTTGAGTTGGGGTCACATGGGTGAAGATTCTGGTCCACATCTCTTTCCCCTGTTTTTGGAGAACAAAAAGGTGACTGTGAACTTTTCTTACTGTGACACATTGTAAACAATTATTTGTCTTTGTTTTATTATTTGTTACACAGTTAATAAATTGTATAAGCAAGAATATTAATGTTTAAGCCTATGAGGCAAGGGTGTTTGAGATTAAAAGAGAAAAGTTTAGGGGAAATGAGGTTTCTTTGGTTTATTTATAAACTAGAGGTTAGAGCTAATTGAGAAAAATTATGCATTTCTGGTCATTTCTAAGGTAATGTCAAAACCTACCCCTTGAATGCCTTAGAACCCAGACAGAGAAATAAAAAAGGAAATGAGCTACTAACAGTTAGAAAGGGCTGAGGGTTGGTATGATTTTCAAGTAGTTACACATGCAGCCCTAGTCAGACTTCACGCAGGCTATATGTGGGGGGGGGGAAGGGGGAGTTGGCTATTGTTTCTAAAATCTATTATTTATCAAAATAAATACAAAGTTATTTGGGAGCAAAGTACTAGCAACTGTGTGGATCAGGAAAGACCACGTAGATGTTGGCATTTGAACTGACCCCTCTTTTTTTGGTAAGAGGGAATGGGTCTCCCTGTTTTACTTAGGTTGGAAGTACATTGGCACACACTGGCTTGACCCCACTACTGATCATCCCAAGAATTTTGACTAGCCCCATTTCTGTCCTAGGCCAGTTTGCTTCTTAGACATACTGCTGTCCATCATCCCCACCCAACCACCACACCCACTCTCAAGTGTGGACACCTGATTGGCTTTAGCCCTACTGCAGCTCAAAACTCCAGAGCTCAAGAGATCTTACCAGCCTCAGCCTCCATAGCGATTGCAGGCATGTGCCACTATACCTGGCACTTGAGCTGAGTCTTGAAGGTAAGCAGGGGATTCAAAGAGGGACTTACTTGCTGGCTAACCTCAATAAGCCTCAGTTTCTTCATCTACAAAATGGAGATAATAAGAGTACCTACATCACAGGATTGTTATGAGTACCAAAATAAAGAATTTAATGCATTTTCAGTGAGAATTTATTTTGATTGAGTATGTACGTTTGTTACAAAAGTTTTTTCTTTTTTCCCAATATGGCAGTGGAAAGGGTGGGGGGAGAAAAGAGATATCAATCAGGTTGCTAAAAATAAGAATAAAAAAGAAAAGAAGGAAAAGAGGGTCACTGAATCATTTTTTAATGCACAGAAGAGAATGAAAAGAAACACAGATAAGCAAGACATCTTTGATAGTTAGATACTGAATTTATTATACACTTAAAAAGGAAAGTAAGAGGGGAGTTTAGGTGAAGCCAAGATGTCAGAGAAAAGCCAAGAAGTTGCCTGAGTTCTCCCCAATTTCCCTTGGAAACAATATTAAATCAAGCTTCTAAATGGATTCTGGAGTGACAGAACCCACAAAAAGATGGAGTGAAACAACTTTCCAGCTTAAGATAACTTAGAAGGATTTCAGGAAAGGTCTGTCTCACTTGGGTAAAAGGGGAGCATAGCCCAGTACAGTATCCAGGCAAGCCAGAGGAAGGCTCTTAACCACAATACAGACCAGCAAACAAAGCCCCTCGGTCCTGAGTCAGCAGGCTAGTGGCAAAACAGGCCAGCTGTAAGACCTCCAGCCCTGCAGAAGGCAAATTGCCAGCCCCAGCATCATAGCACAGAAAGTCAGTGACCAAGCCCCTGGGCCCCAGCACAAGAAGCTTGGGACACTGGCCCCTGTGCCCTGGGAGCAGAACCCAACTTAAAAAGTCACAAAATAGGCTTAAAAAATGAACACAAAACAGCAAAGAGCCCTGACCACAGAAAGCTACTATGGTGACAGAGAGGATCAAAACACAAGCTCAGAAGAGGACAACAATGTCAAAATGCCTACAAGTAAAGCCTCAAAGGGGAATATGAATTGGTCTCAAGCCCAAAAAGCCTTCTTGGAAGAGTTTAAAAAAGATTTTAAAAATCAAATAAGGGAGGCAAGAGAAAAAATGGGAAAAGAAATGAGAGTTATGCAAGAGAGAGTCAAGAGGTTGGAAAAGTAAGGACAAAAATTGACTGAAGAAAGCAATTCCTTAAAAAATACAATTGGCCAAATGGAAAAAAAAATCCACTGAAGAAAACAACTCTGTAAAAAGTAGAATTGGCCAAATGGAAAAGGAGGTACAAGAGCTAACTGAAGAAAATAATGCCTTAAAAAGTAGAACTGGGCAAGTGAAAGCTAATGACTCCATGAGACATCAAGAATCAGTCAAATAAAATCAAAAGAATGAAAAAAAAAAGAAAAATGTAAAACACCTCATTGGAAAAACAACTGACCTGAAAATAGATCCAGAAGAGATAATTTAAGAATTACTGGACTACCTGAAAGCCATGATCAAAAAAACAGCCTGGACAGCATCTTTCAAGAAATTATCAAGGGAAACTGCCCTGATATCCTAAAACCAGAGGGTAAAATAGTCATTGAAAGACTCCACCAATTACCTCCTAAAAGAGATCTCACAATGAAAACTCCAAGGAATATTGTAGCCAAATTCCAGAATTATCAGGTCAAGGAGAAAATACTGCAAGCAGCCAGAAAGAAACAATTCAAATATCAAGGAGCCACAGTCAGGATTACATAGGACTTAGCAACTTCTATATTAAAGGATCAGAGGGCTAGGAATATGATGTTCTCGAAGGCAAAGGAGCTTGGATTACAATCAAGAAAAATTAAGCATAATCTTTCAGGGGAAAAGACAGACATTCAACGAAATATGAGACTTTCAAACTTTTCTGATGAAAAAACCAGAACTGAACAGAAAATTCAATCTTTAAATACAAGACTCAAGAGAACCGCAAAAAAGTAAACAGGAAAGAAAAAAAAAACATGTTATTCAATAAGGTTAAACTGTTTCCATCCCTATACAGGAAGATGATACTTTTAACCCTCAAGAACTGTGTCTCTATTAGGGCAGTTAGGAATGTACATACACAAAGGGTGTAGTATAAGTTTACTCTGATGCGATGATATAAAAAAAGTAAAGGGTGAAAAAAGGATTGTACTTGTAGAAAAGGAAAGGGGGAGGCAGAATAGTACCAGTAAATTACATCACACAAAGAGGAGCAAAAGACCTATTACAGTAGAGGGAAAGACGGGAGGGCAGAAGTAAGAGGGAAAAGGAGAAAGAAAAGGGAGGGGAGCTGATGGAAAGGAAGGCAGGTTGAGGGAGGTGGTGGTCAGAAGCAAAACACTGGTGAGGAGAGACAGGGTGAAAGGAGAGAGAAAAGTATAAACAAGGGGAAAATAGGATGGAGGGAAATACAAAGTTAGTAATCATAACTGTGAAAGAGAATGAGATGAACTCTCCCATAAAATGAAAGTGAATAACACAGTGGATCAAAAACCAGAATCCTACAAAATGCTATTTACAAGAAACACATCTGAAGCAGAGAGATACACACAGAGTGAAGGTAAAAGGCTGGAGTAGAATACGTTATGCTTCAGCTGAAGTAAAAAAAAAAACAGGGATAGCAATCCTGATCTCAGACAAAGCAAAAGCAAAACCAGATCTAATTAAAAGAGAAAAGGAAGGAAACTACATCTTGCTAAAATGTACCATAGACAATAAAGTAATATCAATACTAAATATATATGCACCAAGTGGTATACCATCCAAATTCTTAGAGGAGAAGTTGAGTTACAAGAAGAAAGAGACAGTAAAACTATACTAGTGGGAGACCTCAACCTCCCCCTCTCAGAACTACATAAATCTAACCACAAATATATAAGAAAGAAGTTAAGGAGGTGAATAGAATTTTAGAAAAGTTAGCTTTGATAGATCTCTGGAGAAAATCAATTGGGGATAGAAAGGAATATATCTTTTTCTCAGTGGTATATGGCACTACACAAAAATTGACCATATATTAGAGCATAAAAACCTTACAATCAAATGCAGAAAAGCAGAAATATTAAATGCATCCTTTTCAGATCATGATACAATAAGAATTATATGTAATAAAGGGCCATGGAAAGACAGACTAAAAATTAATAGGAAACTAAACATACTAATCCTAACGAATGAGTGGGTCAAACAATAAATCATAGAAACAATAATTCCATCAAAGAGAATGACAATAAGACAACATACCAAAATTTATGGGATGCAGCCAAGGCAGTTCTTAGGAGAAATTTTATATCTCTAAATGCTTACGTGTATGAAATAGAAAAAGAGAAGATCAACTAAATTTAAAAAAATCAAAATTAGGGCATACAACTAAAAAAAAGCTAGAAAAAGAACAAAAAAACCACCAATTAAATACCAAATTAGAAATTCTGAAAATCAAAGGAGAGGTTAATAAAATTGAAAACAAGAAAACTATTGAACTAATAAATAAAACTAAGAGCTGATTTTATGAAAAAAAAACCTCAATAAATTAGATAACCCTTTGGTTAATTTGATTTAAAAAAGAAGAAAACCAAATTACTAGTATCAAAAATGAAAAGAGTGAATTCACCACTAATGAAGAAGAAATTAAAGCAATAATTAGGAGCTATTTTGCCCAACTGTGTGCCAATAAACCTGACAATCCTAGTGAAATGGGTGAATATTTACAAAAATATAAATTGCCCAGATTAACAGAAGAGGAAATAAAATACTTAACCTCATTTTAGAAAAAAAAAAATTGAACAAGCCATCAATGAACTCCCTAAAAAAAAATCTCCAGGGCCAGTTGGAGTTACAAGTGAATTCTACCAAACATTTAAAAGACAATTAATTGCAATACTATATAAACTATTTGGAAATTTAGGCAAAGAAGGATTCCTACCAGATTCCTTTTATGACACAAATATGGTGTTAATACCTAAATCAAGAAGACCCAAGATAGAAAAAGAAAATTATAGACCAATTTCCCTAATGAATATTGATGCAAAAATCTTAAATAAAATATTAGCAAAGAGATGATAGTAATTTATCACGAGGATAATAATGCACTATGACCAGGTGGGATTTATACCAGGAATGCAGGGCTCTTTCAATATTAGGAAAGCTATCAGCATCATTGACCATATTAATAACAAAACTAACAGAAATCATATGATTATCTCAATAAATGTAGAAAAAATTTTGACAAAATACAGCACCCATTCCTATCAAGACCACTAGAAGACACAGGAATAAATGGAGCGTTCCTTAAAACGATAAGTGATATCTATCTAAAACCATCAGCAAGCATTATATGTAATGGGGATAAGCTAGAACCTTTCCCAATAAGATTAGTGGTAAGACAAGGATGCCCATTATCACCACCATTATTCAATATTGTACTAGAAATATTAGCTTTAGCAATAAGGGAAGAAAAAGAAATTGAAGGAATTAGAATAGGCAATGAGGAAACAAAACTATCACTCTTTGCAAATGACATGATAGAGAATCGACTAATAAGCTACTTGAAGCAACTAACAACTTTAGCAAAGTTTCAGGGCATGAAATAAGCCCACATAAGTCATCAGCATTTTAATATATTACCAACAAAGCCCAGCAGCAAGAGATAGAAGGAGAAATTCCATTTAAAATAACTGTAGACAATATAAAATATTTAAGAGTCTGCCTGCCAAGACAAAACCAGGAACTATATTAATACAATTACAAAACACTTTTCACACAAATAAGATCAGATTTGAACAACTGGAAAAATATCAATTGCTCATGGGTAGGATGAGCTAATATAATAAAAATGACAATTCTACCTAAGTTAATTTACTTATTCAGTGTCATACCAATTAAAATACCAAAAAATTATTTTATAGAGCTAGGAAAAATAACAAAATTCATCTGGAAGAACAAAAGGTCAAGAATATCAAGGGAATTAAAGGAAAAAAAAGCAAAAGAAGGTGGCCTAGCTGTACCAGATCTAAAACTATATTATAAAAAGTGGCAATCATCAAAACTATTTGGTACTGGCTAAGAAATAGAGTGGTAGATCAGTGGAATAGGTTAGGTACATAAGACACAGTAGTAAATGACTAGTAATCTATTATCTACTACCTATCAGATTGGCTATTATGACAGAAAAGAAAAATGATAACTGTTGGAGAAGATGTGGTAAAATTGGAACACTAATGCAGTTGGTGGAGTTGTGAACTGATCCAACCATTCTGGAGAGCAATTTGGAACTGCGCCCAAAGGGCTATAAAAATGTGCATACCCTTTGATCCAGCAATACCACTACTAGGTCTGTATCCCAAAGAGATCATAAAAAAGAGGAAAGGACCCACATATACAAAAATATTTATAGCAGCTCTTTTAGTGGTGGCCAAGAATTGGAAACTGAGAGGATACCCATCAACTGAGGAATGGCTGAACAAGTTGTGGTATATGAATGTAAAGGAATACTGCTGTGCTATAAAAAATGATGAGGGGGCAGCTAAGTGGCGCAGTGGGTAGAGCACCGGCCCTGGAGTCAGGAGGACCTGAGTTCAAATTGGCCTCAGACATATAACACTCACTAGCTGTGTGACCCTGGGCAAGTCACTTAACTCCACTGCCTAGCCAAAAAAAGGAAATGATGAGCAGGTGGATTTTAGAAAAACCTGGAAAAACATACATGAACTGACGCAGAGTGAAGTGAGCAGAACCAGGAGAACATTGTATATAGTAACAATAACAGACTTAGCTCTTCTCAGCAATACAATACCCAAGACAATTCCAAAAGACTCATGATGGAAAATGCTATCTACATCCAGAGAAAGAACCACGGAGTCTGCAGATCAAAGCATACTATTTTCACTTTTTTTTTTGTTTTTTCTTATAGTTTTCCCCTTTTATTCTGATTCTTCTTTCACAACATGACTAATGTGGAAATATGTTTATCATGATTGCACATGTATAACCTATATTGCTTGCTGTCTTGGGGAGGAGGGAAGAAGGGAGAGAGAAAATTTTGGAACTCAAAATCTTATAAAAATGAATGTTGAAAACTATCTTTACATGTAATTGGAAAAAATAAAATAATATTAAGTGAGAGAAAAAAGGTAACCTGTACATAATAGAGATTCTGTCTCATGTACAATCCTTTCTTTCTGTCCTATAATGTATATGGAAATGTTAATTTTATTTGGTGCAGGGTAAGTTCAGAATAAAAAAAAATAAAGAGAATCGGCAAAAACAGAAGCCAAGAAAAAGTGAGTGTATGTGAAAATCTTTACCAGACTAAAGCTCTACATAAATGTAAGCTATATTGGCTCTCCTTTCCAATTCCAGCAGATAGGGGTAGGAGACTAGTGTCTGTTTGCCTTCAGCCTCCAATCCAGAGCACAAGAAAATGACTTCCCTCTTCCTCACTACCCACTATTAAAGGGCTCCTCTACTTCACACCATCTTGAATTCCTGATATTCTTGGGGCCAGGGAAGTTCTCCAGTACCTTCTAAGGAAAATCCCCAGATATCCATTCCATTGGAACATTCGGTGTGCAGAAAGGTAACTAGAACCAAGAGACAGAGAAGTAGAAAGGAAGGGAGGGTTGGGGGAAAGGCCCTCTGTAGGCAGCGAGATCTGACAGCCCTCATGTTTCCATGGTCTGGCTACAGCTCCACAATTCTCTGTCCATCAGTGGATGGGCAGTCATAGATTCTGGCAGGATACAGGAATGTTTATTACAGAAAGAAAGGGGAGGAAGAGGAGAATAAGCATTTATTAAGTGCCTACTATGTGCCAGCACTGTACTAAGGCTTTACAAATATCTCATTTGATCCTTACAACCACCTTGGTAGGAAGGTGCTATTGTTACCCCATTTTACAGTTGAAGAAACTGAGGTTAAGTGACTTACCCAGGACCAAATAGTAGGAAATGCCTGAGGCTGAATTTGAATTCAGGTCTTCCTACTCTAAGTCTAGCATTTTATCCACTATATCCTCTCAAAGGAACAAAGGGGTACTCATGACTTTCATCCTCCCATCCCTCTATCAAAGGCTAGGGAGAAAGCCATCCCTAGTTCTGGTCCCTGCCCCCATAAAATTGGCTCATCCCATCCCCTATGATATCAGAACCACAGAGCTTTAAAGGAATGTACCTCAGAGGTCACCTAGTCCAAGCATGAATCCCCGCTTCGGGAGGCAGCTCCTGACTCGGTGACCTTGAAGGTGGAGGAGGCCTGTTTTTCCAGGCATTCTGGAGCTGGAGGAGGAGTCTCAGCAGTATGGTATCCAACACGGCCAGACCTTCCCAGGAACACCGAAGTCCACTGAAACAAAGAGGAGATGAGATAACAATCCTCCCTCCCCATTCCCTACCCCTTAACCAACAGCTTCCCCAACCCTGCGGCCCTGCCACTCCGGTTGTCCCTAACCGTAACCCCTTCCCATCCTCCCCCTCCTCATTTCCACCCGTCCTCTCCCACCAGCTCACCTGTGGTCCAGCAGCAACAGGCCTTGTGACCGGAGCTCCCTCACTTCCTCAGATTCCCCAAACACATCCCACAGGGACAAGTGGGGCTCAAAGTACAGCCAGTGCTGGAGAGGACAGAGTCAGAGTTGTACCCCACCCCTCAATCTCTCACGCTGGGGGACTTTGTAGTCCCCTATTTCCAATGTAAGCATTATGTCAGGGTGCATAGGGAGGAGGCCTGGATAGACCCAGTGGGAATAGCTATGCTATGTCTCACCCTGTGTATGTGTATGTTACATGCTGATGTCTCACTCAAGCACGGGGCAACTCAGAGCACAGCCTGAGGATGAGCAAACATCACCCTTGCTTTCAACCACTCGGCCAAGAATCTGCAAATAATTAGGGAGTAACCTTCAGGCCACACTTCCTCCTTCCTCCATGCTTTCCACATCTGATCCAGTCTCCTCTCCACCCCGTCTCTCGTTGCTATCCTGTTTTGTTTTCTTTGGCTTTGTATTCCCCTCAATACCTAACTGATGGCCAACCACATAGTAGGAACTCAGTAGAGGTTTGGGGACGGTGGTGAAAGCGCTGGCTCTGTGCTTACTGTCTTAATCTCTGTTTCCCCTCCAGTTCTAGCTCTCTGGTTAGAGCCAACAACAACATCCATCTAGATGACCCTTCTAAAAACCTGGACAGTTAAAGCCAACCTCTTCTACCTAATCCAATCTGCTAGCCATTTATTAAGCAACCACTTAATACTGTGTTTAATAACTATAAAGTGCAAGATTATAAAACTGGGAATACCAAGACAAAATAAAATAGAGTCCCTGTACTCAGAAAGTTGACACTCCACTAGGATCTGATCTGGGGTGGGGTAGGGAGACAGATAGGGACAGGGCAGCTAGGTGGCGCCATAGTGCACAGAGTGTCAGGCCTAGAGTCAGGAAGACTAATTTTCCTGAGTTCAAATCTGGTTTCAAACACTTACTAGCTGTGTGACCGTGGGCAAGTCACTTCACCCTGTTTGCCTCAATTTCCTCATCTGTCAAATAAGCTGGAAAAGAAAATGGCAAACCACCCCAGTGTCTTTGCCAAGAAAACCCCAAACAGGGTCATCACTGAAAAATGACTGAACAATGACAACAATGGATAAGGACCAGATGTGTGATTTCATTGGTACAGGGGCTCGGGTGAGGAAAGTCTCTCTACCAATGCAGGCAGGCACCCTTTCTACAAGTTATGGTCTTAGAGACCAAACTCCCTAGAGTACTGAGAGGTTACACAGCCAGAATGTAACCGAGATGACTTGAGCTTCGTCTTCTAGTCTTCAAGGTTGGCTTTCTAACCACCACGCCCCACTGCCTTAGGAGGGGTGGTGGTGGGAGAGATAGAACATCTAAACAGATAAGTATGTACATGATAATCTGGGGAGGAGGGAGGAAGCATTAGCTACCATGGAGACCACAAAAAGCTTTCCAGAGGGGACAACATATAAGCTGAGCTCTGAAGGGAGTCACAGCTCTGAAGGGAGGAGAGAGTGCAATTCAGGCATGTACAAATACAATACAATACAACAACACAACACAATGCCATATAATACAACCTATATAAAGGTATGGAGGTAGAATGTAAAGTACCAAGTTTGGGGAACAGCAAACAGGCTAGTTTGAATAGAATACAAAGTACAGAACAGGCATAATGTACAATAAGCCTAGGCAGATAAGCTGGGGACAGACTGTGAAGGGCTTTAAATGCCAAGGCAGAAGTTTTTCTTTTATCCTAGAGGTAACAGGTTGCCCCTGAAAAGTCCTTGAGCAGGAGAATAACAGTGAGGCGTGCTTTAGAAAGATTATTTTGGCAGCTATGCAGAGGACACATTAGAAAAGGGAGAGTCTGGAATCTCGGAATCCAATTGGAAGCTGTTGCAATAGTCCCAGTGGAAGGTGATGTGGACCCAAACTAGGGCGGTGGGCATGTGACTGAAGAAAAGGGAACAGATGGTGGAGAAGAATTCACAAGACTTGGCAATTAAGTTACTAGAGTGAGTGAGTGAAGGGAGAGAGTCAAGTCGTCCATCCGCCAGGACAGCCACATCTCAGCCTTCACATTCACTTGATATTTATCCACTCCCCATACCTAGAAACCTGAAATTCTCTACCCTGATCACAATCTCTCCTCTCTATTTCTTCCCCACCCTTACTAACACTGAGCCTCTTGGTGTGACCTCCAGTCCCTTGACCACCCCTTTTCCTTCAGCCCTTCATCTTTGTTCTGGCTTCCCTTCCTTCTGGATCCCAGACTCAGCAATTCCACCATCTGAAACTTCCTTGGACCCTTGATTTTCCACCATTACTATCCTCCTAATCTCCAAGCCTAGGTAACCCGCACTAGCCTATCTTCTCTACTCTCTCCAACAGAGTGCTAGAGGTAGCCATGAGAATATGCTCATTATAAATTATAAATACATTACATAAATATATTACATAAATTATAAATGCATAATATACATTATAAATTCATGATAACAAATTGTTCAAACAGAATCCAGCAGATGACCTCACATCTAAACTCATTAACATTTCCCTTAAAACCCACTCCTTTTCCTGGACTTCCTGTTTCTGTCAATGGTATTTAGAAAGAACAAGGTCATCCACTGCATCCTGGGCCATCACCAGTTGTCTTGATTTTTGTCAAGATCATATGAGGGCTCATAACCTTATGATCGTCTCCAACTCCTAAAGGCCACTAGGTGGCGTAGTGAATAGAGTGCTGGGCCTAGAGTCAGGAAGACCTGATTTTAAATCCAGTCTCAGGCACTCAGTAGCTGTGTGACCCTGGGCAAGTAACTTAACAGCTGTCTGCCTCAGTTTCCTCAACTGTAAAATGGGGATAATAACAGCAGCACCTTCCTCTCAGGGTTGTTTTGAGATCAAATGATATAATGCATTCAAAACACTTGGCATAGTACCTGGCACATAGTATGTGCTTAATAAATACTTGTTTTGGGGCAGCTAGATGGCACAGTGGCCAGAGCTCTGGCCTTGGAGTCAGGAGGACCCGAGTTCAAATCTGACCTCAGACACTTGACACTTCCTAGCTGTGTGACTCTGGGCAAGTCACTTACCCCTGATTGCCTCACCAGAAAGCAAAAAAAAAAATTTAATTTAATTTAAAAAAATAAATATTTGTTTCTTTCCTTCCTCTATCTCCTCCACACTCTGCAAAATGGATCCTCATTATATGCTGGGAATCATCATTCCCACTACTACCACACTTTTTAGATTTTTATCATCTTCTGCCTGGATTATTTCAACATCTAACACCCCATAGAAAATTAATCTTTCAGATGCACTTGTCCTGATACAATCTACTGCTAAAAAAATTTTTTAAAAAGAACCTTTCAATGGCTCCCCACTGTCCCCTAAAAAAAAAATCAGAACTATTGATTCTGGCATTCAAGGCTTTCCACAACCTGACTCCCAAATCTCTTCTTCCCTGCCGTATCTCATGATACCTATACTCCAGCCAAACTATTCCTCATTCTCTGAACACACCTCTTATTTTCCCACCTTTGCTCACACTATTTCCCATTCTCCCAATGCCTTTTCTACCACATGTCCCTCCTTCCCTCCCTCCCCACCCCCCCATTTTCACCTACTGAAATCCCACATATCCTTCAAGGGCTAGTTCAAAAGCCATGCCTTCCATGAATCTTCCTCTGCTCACTCCAGCAGGAAGTGATCTCTTATAAAATCCTATAATAATGGTTTGTAGCTATTCTATCTACCTACCATATCCTCTTTTGCATCAGTTATTTGTGTGCTTGCTTTTAATCTCTTCTATTAAATTGCTAGTTTCTCAAGGGCAGGAACCAAGTCTTGTTTGTCTTTGGGCCTGCCTGCACGCCTAGCACAAAACAGGAACTTAATACATATCTGTCCGATGAATAAAACAAATAATTGCAAATGTCACTCCCATTTCATAGACCAGCTTGATGCTAAGTCAGAGTCAAGCTGACATGCTTCCAGCTTCCCCACTAAATGTGGTCTAACTCAGTCCTCGTGCCTAAACACTAGGCCTGTGAGGAGTTCCTTTCCTCCGCTGTGGTCTTCTCTACTCACAGCTTTAGATACTGCTCCATCACTTCTAGAAAGGGAGAAGGGAAGACCCTCTGATACACAAAAGCACGCTCTGGGACTTGCTCCATGACGGACCTCTTGACTTGGCCCAGTGTGGAAGGGTGTTCATTGTGTGATGGTGTATGCGTGCATGTGTGACTGAATGGTAGGTAGTATATAATCTCCAGGCTGGCAGAGAAGGCCTTGGAGTGAGAAGGGTGCAGAGCAAGCTCTCATCAGTCACTTTACCTGGTGAGTGATTCCTATGTCTGTACGTAAGCCCAGAGCCAAAACCTCCTCCAATCTGAAACGGAGATGCAGACAGAGCTGTACCGATGCTCAAGGGATTCTGGGAAAAGGAGCCATACCACCACCATCATCATCATCATCACACACAGACACACACACACACACACACACACACACACACAATGTCAGGTGTATTTGTATGTGTATATGGTAGGGGAAGCTCTAGGAAATATACAAAGAGGGGAAGGCAGTCAATAATAATGCTCGGAATAGCCGGTGGGGGTGGGGAACAGTGCTGAGAAAAGCTTCACCCAGATATACTCACAGCTCCAGCTCACTCAGGGAGACTCGCTTCCGGGTGCCATGTCCAAACATTAAAACTTCCTTCATCCAATTATCAGGTTCCAATGTCTGGACTCGAGCTTCCCGTAGGCTCCCTCCGTCCCTTTGAGGCACAAATCGCCCGTGGGCACCTAAGACAGAGAAATCCTATTAGTATAGCTTACTCCTACCTCTTCCATCTTGGCCTTCCCATCTGTCACCGGACTCACCAGGCCCAACACCTATGTATTGACCACCTTGCCAATAGGTCCAATTATGGGTGCTGAGAGCTTCCTGCAAAGGAAGGAGACAGTTAGTGCACAGGGGAGAGAGCCCTAGGGCCCACTCCCATCAGGTGACATGTTTTTTTGTTTTTGGTTTTTTTTAATATGAGGCAATTGGGGTTAAGTGACTTGCCCAGAGTCACAAAGCTAGTGAGTGTTATATGTCTGAGGCCAGATTTGAACTCAGGTCCTCCTGACTCCCAGGGCCCGGGCTTTATGCACTGCGCCACCTAGCTGCCCCTCCCATCAGGTGATACGAATGCCCAGCCAGGGAAGTTTCCCACCCAAGTTAGGACATATAAATGCCTCACACAAGTATCCTTGAATTAGTCAAGGAAGGAGGAGTATATGAGTATATGAGCCCCCAGGCAGATGCCACAATGCCTTCTCAGACTCCCCAGTGCCTTCCCAATGTTTGCCCTTTCCCCAGTTATGAAGTCTTTCTACCATATGTCCCACCCTTCTCTCTCTATGGCCTGGACTTCCTCATTGCCCTCAGAACAACTGTTAGGCACTCTCCCTCACCCCCTTCTATCCAACATCATACTTCAAAATAAGGGCTCACATTTCTGGCAAAGTTGGAAACTTCATACTGGCGGAAGCCTGCCTCTCTCAGGACCTCTCGCCCATCGTGGTACATCTCCGCTGCAGCTTCTGGGTCTGGGGAGGGCAGGATCCCTCGCTGGATCTGGGCAAAGAGCAGAGTGCCTCTCTCCACGGTCAGCTGGTAGAGAGAGACGTGGTCATCACAGAGGGAAAGTAGCTCCTGCAGCTGCCTGAGCCATGGTTCCACCTGCTGCGCTGGGAGGCCAAACATGAGATCCACAGATGTGCGCCCTGGAAACAGAAGCCGTGCCTCTTCCAAAGTCCCCAAGGCTTCTGACACTGAGTGTGTCCTGCCTAGCAGCTGGAGTTCTGTATCATCTAAGGACTGAAAGAGAGAAAGGAGAAAGGAAAAGGAGGGACTGTGAGGGAAGGAAGACAGGGTAGCCTGGTTTGGCAAGGGGGCAGAGGACAAAATTTGGCCTTGAGAAGGAATGGATACGAGCATATATGGAGCAGGGAGAAAGAAGACAGGCAGAGGGTTTCTGGAAAAAGAGAAAAGTTGAGGTCTGTGAACTTTTTTCTTAAAAAATATTTTGATAACTACATCCTGATATAATTGGTTTGTTTTATAATCCCATGTATCTTATTTTTTGCATTTAAAAACATTATTTTGAGAACGGGTCCATGACACCAAAAAGGTTAAGAAGGATAGGGAGCAGACTCAATCAGCCAATTAACCTAGGAGTAAGCCCGAGAGAAGGGGGAGGGGAGGGCAGAGCAGAAGGGCTATATAAGGGGAGTGGCTGGTCACCTGGATACCAATGGATAGTCTGTTGATACCTGCCCCTCGGAAGGCAGCCAGCCTTGATGCCTGCGATGAGGTCGGGTTGGCTTCTAGAGTAACTTCGGCTTTGGCAGGCAACTGGGTGGTCTGGGCAATAGCCTCCAGGATTGAGGCCACTGTGTGAGGGCTGGCCAGGCTCGGTGTCCCCCCACCAAAGAACACAGAGTCGATCCTAGAAAGGAAGCAGCAGCCGAGGAGGTGGAGGGGGATGAGATAAGGCCTACGAAAGTTCCCTGAAGGTCCCCAGTCTTTGTATTCCTTGTACTTGGCACAGTGCCTGCCCCAAGGGGTTCTTGATAAATGCCAGTGAATTGACTGATTGATCCCCTTCCCCTCCCATCTCTCCATCTCCAGAAGAAGGTCCCCTCCAAGGAACCCACCGTTGCACTCCACTGAGTTTCAGCAGGGTAGCTGTCTCCTTCACAAGGCATCTCTGCATAGCGTCTTCATCTAGCCCTCGGGGGATATACTTGTTAAAGTTACAGTAACTGCAGCGCTTTTCACAGTATGGCCACTGAGAGACAGAGAGACACAGAGAGACAGAGACCGAAAGACAGACAGACAGAGACAGAGAGAGTGAGAATGAGAAGAGAAGACAGGAGGGAGGGTGGGTGAGGCAGGTGACCTTAGGTCACCCAGCCCCTTCCAGGGATCAGCTAGGTTCCTAACATTACTTCTCTATTCCAGTCTTTCAATGCTCATGAATACCCTTGATTCCAGGTCCCCAGTGGAGGGAAAGGGGAGAGACAGATGCCTCTCTTCCCCATCTGAGCACCCCCCAAACTCAATCCTTCTCTCCTCCAACAGAAGCTGTGATTCCATCCCGGATCCCTTCATTTTGGTTTGAAAAATTACAGGGATGGTGAGTGGAGCCACAGAGGAATAGATAGATACACTCTTTTAAGGGACAATGATAGTTGATTTGATGACGGTTCTAGAACTGGAAAGTGAGGAGAGCAATATTTTCTAAATTATAAAATAAAATGCATAGGATTATAAAGGAAACCAATGCTACTGAAATAGTTATTGAAATATTTTTACAAACAAGTTGCTAGACTCCCTCCCAGGCGCAGAGGGAAAGAGCTCCCAATTTCCAAACTGCCAAAAGTTCTGTCCAAAGCTGAGGCTGGAGCCAGCCCAGGGCTGGCATTAGAGTTAGGGCTGGCTCTCCTCTACTCACGTGCACGTAAAGCGCGGCGCTCCGGCTCCCAGGCGCAGGTTGCATCGCGGCTCGCGGGCGCCCCTGGCCCTGGATTTGACCTTGGTCGGGTCTCCCGACGCAGCTCCGTCTGCTCGCACATTGGGTGCCTAGGGCGGCCGCGGCCCCACAGCAAGCCCGGATCCCAGGAAATGCCAGACTTGCAGCAAGCCACAGATCTTGGTCACGGCCTTCGGCCCTTCTTCCAAAGCCGTCCGGCGGCCTGGCTTCCCCGGCGCCTCCGCTCTCCTCCCCCTCCTCCCTCCCGCCACTCCCCACCCCCGCTCCGGGCTCAAGAGTTGGGTGCAAATGGCTAAGGGTCCCTCCTTCCTTGTCTAGGTGAATAGAAGGCCGAGGTCAACCAGCCGCGCCTTCCTCCCCTGCACACGCACCCCTGTGCAGCACCCCGCCTGTGGGGGAGGCGGCAGAAGGCTGAGTGGAGCTGCACGTGGAATCTGGATGAGTTCCGAGGATCCTGGGCTCCCTAACCAGACTGAAGCCTTAAAAGGCCTGCCCTGGGCTGGCTGGAGACCTCCAGTCTGCGGGCGCCACCTGCCGGACACTAGAACTTATTTAGGAACCTGGGGGGGATAGAGCGGGCAGAGACTAGATCTTATCCAAATCCAACCCCCTGATTTTACAAATAAGGAAAGTGAAGACCCCTGTCACCTGGACTATGCATTAGCCTCTCACTGGACTCCCTGCACACGTTTTTCCTTTCCAATCGATCTTCTGCACAGTGGCCAAAGCAATATTGCTAAGCATGAGCGTTTGATCATGCCACTCCATATTAATCAAGAAACTCCCTGTTACCCCTAGAATCAAGTGTAAACTCATTTTTGGAACCTGAAGCCTTTTTGGCCTGGTTCCAAGCCATCTTTCCAGTTTTGGGGTTTTTTTTATACATTACTTCCCTCCAGCAAGTCCAGGCTCTAAACTGGCCTATTTAACATTTCCCCATACACAATACTCCATCTCTAATCTTGGTGCTTTGATACCTATTCATGCCTGGAATGCATCAGATAACTGACTCTGTGTTTAGTTTGTGCATACTTCTATGTAAACATGTCTCCCTGTAAAATGTAAATTCCTTAAGGGCAGATTTTTTTTTGTCTCTGTTCCTGGGCACTCAGCACAGTGCCTCACATTATTTAATAAATACTTCTTGATTCACCAGAGATTAAGTATTTTGGCCAAAGTCATAAAGATAGTAAGTGATGGAACCAAGATTCAAACCCAAGTCAAAGGACCACAGATGGACAACTGGGAGATTTAGAGGGGCACTGAGTCCAACCCACTTTTTTTACAGATGAGGAAATAGGTTCAGAGGAATTAAGTGACTTGCTCAATCCCACAGCAAGTAAACCTGTGAGCTCTCAGGTCATTTTTTTTTCTTAGCTAATTTGATAGATATTTGGAGAATTGTCATAATTTTTAAAATGTACATTTCTTTGATGACTAGAGGTTTTGAACATTCCCATGTGATCATTGCCATTTCTTCTTCTGAGAACTGCCCATTCACATCCTCTAGGAAAATGGCCTTACTCTAATGAATTTGAGCTATAAAATTGGTATGTCAAAAATTTAAGAGAAGTGTTTGATGCAAATATTTTCTCTATTTCTTATTCTGGATGCATTGTGTCTATTATGCAAAAGCTTTTTATTTTTCATTCAAAGTCACTTATTCTTTTTGTTTTCCTACTTCTTGTAATTTCCTCTGGGTCACAGCTTTTTTTTTTCTTTTGGTGCGGGCAATTGGGGTTAAGTGACTTACCCAGAGTCACACAGCTAGGGAGTGTTATGTGTCTGAGGCCAAATTTGAACTCGGGTCCTCCTGACTCCAGGGCCTGTGCCCCACCTACTGGACTACCTCACCACCCTTGGGTCACAGCTTATTAAGAAACTATCCTCTCCTTCATAGTTGTGAAAAATATAATGATCTCTTATTCTTTACACTGTTATACCTTCATTTCTCTTCCTGACTCTGAATTTCAAAACCATGCCTCCTCTATCATGGCTGATCCAGGAACTTCTCTCAGCACTAGTGCTCCCCAACAATAGCCTATTATTTGTGCTGTCTGCTCACTCTAGAATAGCCATCCAAATGTCCCAACATAACTCTCTCCCCCTCATCTAACCTCCTTGATGAGTTCCTCTTGGAAGTTTAATTTTATGGAAGAGCCCAGGCCAGTTTGCTTCCTTCTCCAGCCAGACAGTTTTTCACTTTCTGAACTTAAAAACAATGGTCTCTTTCCAGATGCCTTTATACACTCCTCCACTTTCCAACTTCCTGTTGTGTATTGTCTTCCCCCATTAGAACATAAGCTCCTTGAGGTTAGGAATTGTCTTTCTCTTTGCTTTACTGAGGATACCAACTCAGTACTTAATAAATCCTTCTTTCCTCTCTTCTTTCCTTCCTTTTCCCCCCTTTCTTCCTTTCTTCTTCCCTTCTTACTTCTTTGTGTCATATGGTGTGAAATTTGGTTTATTCCTATTTTTCACCAAACTGCTTTCAGTTTTCCCAACAGTTTTTGTTGAATGATTTCTTTTTCCACTGTTTTGTGACCATAGGTTTATGAAACACTAGAATACTGATTCTAGCTTGTCTTCTCACATGTTTCAGTGATCTAGCTATTTTCTCTCTAGTAGCAGGCATTTTTATGATTGCTCCTAGTATAATCTGAAATCTGGGAGTATAAGCCCCATGAAAAGAGGAATATTTGAGAGGAGAGGGGGGAAAAGGAAAGCTCCTCCTGAGTCTTAGTTTCTCCTACTGTGAAATGGGGGCATCTTTGCTTCTAGTCTCTGAGTCAGTCAGTCAACTAGTATTTATTAAGTGACCACCACGTGCCAGTTACAGGCTAAGCAGTGGGGAATATGAAGAAAAGCAAAAGACCAGTCCCTGCTCACAAGGAGCTCACAGTCTGATCAGGAAGACAAAGTGTAAACGAGTATGTAAAAACAAAATATAGACAAAATAAATTGTAGACAAAACAAATTAGGGAAGTAACTAAGATTGAAGAAGAACAATAGAAAAGACTTCTGGCACTTTAGCTGAGACTTGAAGGAAGCTAGGAAAGCCAAGAAGTGATGAGGGGAGAGAGAGCATTCCAGGCACGAGGAACTGCCTCTGAAAATACCTGGAGTTGGGAAATGTAGCTTCTTGCTCAGAGGAACAGGAAGGAGGTCATTGTCACTAGATCACCAAGTCTATGGGGGAGTATAAAGCATAATAAGACTGGAAAGAAGTCTTCTGGACCAAAGAGGTTTAACTTTACAATCTTTGGCCAGTGTTAGATGGAAGATGTTGCAACCTTTATTCATCTGAACCTCCCCTCCAGCCTATCCCCAGGCTTCTGAGAAACCAATGTGTTTGTTGTTGCTCACTTGTTTCAGTCATACCAGACTCTTTGTGACTCCATGGGGGGGTTTTCTTGGTGGAGATACTGGAGTGGTTTGCCATTTCCTTCTCCAGCTCATTTGACAGACAGATGAGGAAACTGAGACAAATGAGGTTATGTGACTTGCCCAGGGTCACACAGCTAATAAGTGTCTGAGCCAGATTTGAACTCAAGAAGATGTGTCTTCCTGATTCCTGATTCCAAGGCCAGTGTTCTATGCACTGTCATCTAGCTGCCCTTTATGAGTAGTAAAGGAACCGTATCCCCGGTTCTATAAATACTCCCATTCTGTCCAAAACAGAAGATACTGTCTTTTCTATTTTTTTTACTTCAAAACACCAGACATGTGAATTGAAACCAGAACCTCTTTATGTGACATTAAAGAGGAGTGACGTAGAGATCAGGATGGGGTAGAAGGGGAGATGCAGGCAGGCTGGAAAGAGGCTGTCTCTTGAGGCTCCCCACTCTGGCCCGTGATTCACAGGTTCAGATGTTTTTCCATCCATGCTTGAAGCTTGTATTTTTGAATCTAAGGGAAAAAGAAGAGTAAAAATTTGTATGACAAAGGCCTCCTTGACCCACCCTGATTTTCTCAGATCCCTAATGACCTCTCCCAGGCTCCTGGCACCTGGTTTTCCTTCCCTTTTTCATCTGCCCCAACTTTACACACCTTCCCAGAGACAGTGAGGGGGTATTCCTTAACAAACACGATGTATCGAGGAATCTTGAAGTGGGAGATCTGCAGACATAGAGACCAGAGAGTGAGGATGGAGTTCCAGAGCTGGAAGCATGGGGTAGGGAGGAGCTCAAGAAGGGGTAGCTATTAGCTCGGGGTTGGGCCCTGGTCAGGGGGAAGGTGTGCACTTAGCCTCCCTCCCCACAGCACCCCCCAGTGACCATCCTAAAGGCAAGGCTGATCATATCACCCTTCTAGTCAAGAAATTCTCAAGGCTCCCTATTACCTTCAGGATCAAAAACAAAATCCTCTTTGGGGCTTTTAAAGCCCTTCACAGCCAAGTCCCTTCCTGCCTTTCCACTCTTCTTACACTTCACTTCCCCATACTTGGTAATCTAGTGACACTGGCCTTGTTTCCTCACACAAAACATCCCATCTCCCAGCTCTGGGCATTTCCCCTGGCTGACCCCTCTTCCTCCCTATCTCTGCCACCTGGCCTTTTGTCAGACATTCCAGCTCCAAAATCCGTGCATTTTCTACGACCAACCCCCCTTGTCTGGAATGCTCTCTCTTCCCCTTTCCCTAGCCTCCTTCAAGACTTAGCTGAAATCTCACCTTCTGCAAGAGTCCTTTTCTGGTCTCTCCTTCCCCCACTGCTAATGCCTTCAACTCCGAGATCATTTCCCACTTAGCTGCATTATCTGGCACATACACAGTTGTTTGCATGTTGTCTTACCCAGCAGAAGGTGAGCTCCTTGATAGTATGGATGGTGATTTTGGTCTTTCTTTGCTATATCCAGCATGTAATACAGTGACTTGAACAATGTAGGAGCTTAACGGATGCTGGTTGACTAACTTGACTGTGACAATGGTCAAACTACCTACCTTTCCTTTGCAGTAAGCTTGCAGTTCCTCTGGGGTGATCTGTTCTTCTGCCTCGGCCTTGAGACGGATACAAGCACAGATTTCCTCCCCCATGCGCTCATCTTTCACTCCAACCACCTGGTATACGGAGATGAGGCAGGTGGAAGGAGGCCTGAGAGGATACCCCAAGCCCTGCCCTCCTTCTATCATACTCCCTGCCCCTGAGGGGAGCCCTCAGGAGATCAGAGGTGGCTCACCTGGGCTTCCTGAACATAAGGATGTTTGTGAAAGAAGTCTTCCAGTTCAGCTGGGTAGATATTTTCCCCTCCTCGGATGATCATGTCCTTGGAACGGCCCACGATCTTACAATAGCCCTCTTTATCTACTGAAGCAATGTCCCTGTAGCGAAATCCTCAGGCTCAGCTCTCAGCTCTTCCCAGCTCAGTCTTACTCTAGGCTGCCCCTACCCAGTGTTTTTCACACCCTTAGAAGTTGTGCCCACCCCTCCAGCTGACTACATAAATCCTTGGGTTCTTTGCCAACCCCTCTAGCAGTAGAAAAACCCCCTCCTCCTGCAT